GTCTCTCCGAGATATGATTTCTTTATTTTTACTGAACTTATTATGTGGACACATCTTATTATTATTAAAATTTTTTCTGCTCAGTAACATAAGGAATTACTAATTTAGAAATGATTTTCCTTAACTGAGTAATCGAGTTATCGTCAACATGTTAGGGTTAATAATTAAACCTATATATTTACCTGTAATGGTTGGAACGAAAAAAAAAAAATGTAATTATGTATTGTGGATGCTTTGTCCTGTCATAGCAGGTGTCGCTTCAGTCGGTTCGTGAGTCTAGATATGTTTGTATCATTTTATTTCATGAATAGCAAAATATAGATAAGTTTGTTTGTTATGAATTTCGCGCAAAGCTACACGAGGGCTATCTGCGCTAGCCCGTCACGAATTTAGCAGTGTAAGACTAGAGGGGATGCAGGTAGTCATCACCATCCACCGCCAACTCTTGGACTACTCTTTTACCAACGAATAGTGGGATTGACCGTCACATTATAAAGTCCCCACGGCTGAAAGAGCGAGCATGTTTGATATGACGGGAATTCGAACCCGCGACCCTCAGATTGCGAGTCGAGTGCCCTAACCATCTGGCCATGCTGTTGTTATGAAAGCTTTACTTTGTATTACCTCTCTAGTTGCAGATCACTGACTGCACAAATTTACTATTTTGCCAAATATGTTCTAAAGTAGTATTTAATTAGCTGTTTTAACTACATCGCTTTCAAATGATTATGTGAAGAAATAAGCAGTTTTTTCACATAATTTTTTCATACCTTAATCGACTCATAGAAAACTTTAAAGTGTGTTAAACGAAGCAAGTAGTAAGAAGACAACAATGTTTGAAATTTGATTTTTGTTTCATATTATCTTATGGTTATCAGCGCATGTCTACTTCACAGTAATGTAGCTAGCACTGGAAAATAAATTGTGTTTTGTTGTTTATATTAAGATTGGAGAATTTAATACCGAGTTGGAGAGAGTGGTCAGTGTTTTCTACGAAGTTATTGGAAATCTGGACATCTCTACGAGTGGTGCTGCTTCACAGTTTGATTCCGCTTTTGAAGCCTATAAAGGCGACGGATCGTTGATACCGGAAAAGTACAATCGTCGATTTATCAAACTGAAGGACGAAATTGTAAATATAACGTTTCATTTATTGTATAAAACATCTACTATTTGTATTTTAAGTTCGCATTTTTCTTCACAAATAAGTTCAAATTCGAAAGGTATCCTTCGAGGGTTTTTTTGCCCCTCCAGAATTGAAACTATTTCCGCTGTGTATGAATGAAGGTACCTCAAATATTCGAGATGATGCACCCCCCCCCCTTTTGTATATGCAAATAAGCCAATCTTCTGTTTAAACCCACATTTTACTCAAATATTAATGTTTATATTGAAATGTTTCCTTGTATGAAATACAAATCACATAATAAATACATAGGTAACTGACTGATAATGTTGTCACACTATCTAGTTTATTAAAAACAAAAATATATACATATTTAAATACGTAACTAAAACGTATATGTGTAAATCCACATTTCATGAAGCAATTAGGTAATTCGATTTACTTTTCCTCCCTGAACGGACTCAGTTTTAAGATTTAACATTTCTGAGGTGTTTCCATCACCTCTTCTGTATGCTTACGATTTTAAGTTTACGAAAACAACAAATATTCTACTTCACTTATTTGTGTTTATTAACTCAAAAATAACATTACAGCACGTAATTGACGTTTCTTTGCTGTATCCTTATTCGTTCTAGTGTAAAACAATTATAGGTAATTCAGTTGAGGTTTATTTCCCTCTCTCTCGGTACAGTCTCTTTTTTTTTTAAGAGTTAAGAGTAATTTGAACGTAAAAAATTCATCGTTTTCCTTATACCTAAAATTGACAGAGCGTGACCTAGTGGTTAGCGCGCCGGATTGTGTATCGACAGACCCAATGTTCGAGATCGTGCATGTTGGTAAACTTTCAACTCCGCACTTTCATCTCTGTGTTATAGAAATGATAACTAGTCCTGCTCTTCGGTTAAAACAACGGCTACAGCTGTCCTTTATTACTAACTTGTTTATGCCATTCCTGTGCCATGTAAAGCATCATTACATTTTAATACAAGCCTAGAAGTCAAGTGTTTCATCGTCATGTACATTACAAACTCATCAGGGATTGAAGCAGTTGTCTACATGACAACATACCGGGTGTTTTTCCTCTTTAAGAACTGATAAATGCAAGTGTGATATTATACACTAAATATAAGTTATTTGAGTGCACGTATGATGGGTGTGGGTAAAGATATAACTTTGCCGATATCTCAGCTTTTAGGGGTTTTCTGAGGTCTTATCATCTTTAGATCCAGAGCTTCATTTTAAGCTATGTTGACAAATGTTGTAGGCTTGGGTACCTCAAACATTAAGTGGAGTCTGCTGCTGGAGTAATAGGTCACAGTAGTAAAGAAGATGTGAAGGGACACAACAAGCTATGTTGACAAATGTTGTAGGTTTGGGTACCTCAAACATTAAGTGGAGTCTGCTGCTGGAGTAATAGGTCACAGTAGTAAAGAAGATGTGAAGGGACACAACAGTAGAAGGTAGAAATGATAGCCGATAAAATACCAATGATCTAGAAAAAAATACTTTTCCAACCATTTTTTTCTTGACTAGAACTATAACAATTTCTAAATTTTTAAAACCATTTGAGGATAAAGGGGGAATGAACAATATTCTTAATCCAGTACAATAGCTTGCAGTAGTCACCCTATAATATACACGTATGAATTATCTGTAACGATATTAACAGTGAGTTGTGTTAATATACGTTAAAAGATTACAGAGATATCAATTTAGACAGGCATGTAATTTGCCTAGTAGAAAACTGTGCGTGACATAATTTACTCTGTATCATAAGA